CCATACATAGTGTGTGTTGTTCCATACATAGTGTGTATTGTTCCATACATAGTGTGTGCTGTTCCATATGTAGTGTGTATTCCATACATAGTGTGTGCTGTTCCATATGTAGTGTGTATTCCATACGTAGTGTGTGCTGTTCCATACATAGTGTGTATTCCATACATAGTGTGTGCTGTTCCATATATAGTGTGTATTCCATACGTAGTGTGTGTTCAATACATAGTGTGTGTTGTTCCATACATAGTGTGTATTGTTCCGTACGTAGTATGTATTCCATACATAGTGTGTGCTGTTCCATACGTAGTGTGTATTCCATACATAGTGTGTGCTGTTTCATACGTAGTGTGTATTCCATACTTAGTGTGCATTCAATACATAGTGTGTGTTGTTCCATACATAGTGTGTGTTGTTCCATACACAGTGTGTGTTGTCCCATACATAGTGTGTATTCCATACATAGCGTGTATTGTTCCATACACAGTGTGTATTCCATACATAGTGTGTGTTGTTCCATACATAGTGTGTGTTGTTCCATACATAGTGTGTGTTGTTCCGTACACAGTGTGTATTGTTCCGTACATAGAGTGTATTGTTCCATACATAGTGTGTATTGTTCCATACAGTGTGTGTTGTTCCATACATAGTGTGTGTTGTTCCATACAGTGTGTGTTGTTCCATACATAGTGTGTATTTTTCCATATGTAGTGTGTATTGTTCCATACACCATGTGTATTGATCCATACACCATGTGTATTGTTCCATATGTAGTGTATTGTTCCATATGTAGTGTGTATTGTTCCATATGTAGTGTGTATTGTTCCATACATAGTATGTATTGTTCCATACATAGTGTGTGTTGTTCCATACATAGTGTGTGTTGTTCCATACATAGTGTGTTGTTCCATACATAGTGTGTGTTGATCCATACATAGTGTGTGTTGATCCATACATAGTGTGTGTTGTTCCATACATAGTGTGTGTTGTTCCATACATAGTTAAAGCCCTGTATTGAATGGTTGCATCCAGTTATATAAATTGTTGCACTCTACTGATTTGGTCATTTTGAGATCTAAATTAACATTTGGAACAGGAACATTTATTCCCACTGTGAAACATCTCTTCTTCTTTTAACAAATGTCTGCAAACATCGAAACTGAGGCGAGCAGGTCTGGAGTTCTGGTCTGATGAAGGGTTTATGTTCAACAATCCTGGGTCTCATTTGATGGATTTTTTTAATTAATTATTTTTTCTATTTTCCTGGATATGAGCAGCACAATTTTCTACATTCATGGTGTCTTCTCAGATGTGCAAGCTGCTCATGCCAGAGGACCTAATGCACCCCCATACTAAGTTTAAAATAACCGAATGGTCCCATTCTTTTTGTTTTTAGAAAATACTGCAAATTTGACTGCTCTGACAATGACTAAAGGAAGTGTTCCTGCGTCCATGTCGTGATGTCAGAACAGAATCAGACCCACTTTTAACACAGTGGCCCCTGAGAACCCGGAGATCCCGACCATATCAACGTTCAGCCTGAACTCAAAGATTTTTTTAAGTATTCGGTGCACAGGAAAAAGAAAAGTTAATGAAAATTGAGACAAAATAAAATAACAGGTCTGTGAATGAATGTGTTTTGGCTTCTTTAACCAAAATAAGAATTTTCCCCAAACCTAAACCGAGGCAGATTCTATCACAACAAACCAGGGCTTAGAACTAAGTTTTAAACCTAAACAGGTCCAAAATGTACCTTGCCCACCCACTTTGTTGCCTTAAAATGTGCAAACAATCATTAAATCACAGAAGTGGAGGATAAAACAGACGCTGCTGCAGCGTCTTTTCAGACCTGACTTATAATGTTTCAGCTTTAAAAAGCTGTTCAGTCATCTGATAATCCAGACAGAGATCTCCAATCTGACCCTTCTGGATTGGGTTTCATATTCTCATCGCCGGCCCCCGCCTGCAATATTTTTTTATATACACTGTATAAAATGAGCTGCCTTTTTGAGCATAAACTGGGATAAATATCCAGCTCTCACATACCATAGCATGGTTACTTAAAATCTAAAAGAATTAAGACTTGCTAAAAGGAAGAAGTGTCAACATATTAGCTAAAAATATCAAATATCTAGATGAAATACCAAACATGTGGTGAAAGCTAAATTAGCTAAAGGGTAACTCTGAGCTAAAGGTATCAACACACTAGATAAAACCATAAAATTAGCAAAACGTTACTTAACATTTGAATAAAATGAAATTTTTATCTTTATATAAAACAAGCAGTTTTTCTTTAATATCCACTCCAATAAGGAGAGCAAGAATCACCCAGTGATTCAGCTGCTTCAGCTTTCAGAACAAGGGTGTGATGAAGAAAGAAAGAAAGAAAGAAAGAAAAAGAAAGAAAATAAAAGAAAGAAAGAAAAAGACAAAGCAGGACCACACCTGGGTGTCTGATTGGTGACTCACCTTCAGACAGTAAACTGACTCAGGGCCGCTCGATTATCTGCCTCAGCCTGCTGCCTGTGCCAAGGCCTCTGTCAGACACAAAGAGCTCTGCCTCTCAGGCTTTCAGCACTTCAGACTCGCCTATCAGATCGTTTCCAGTAAACAACTGCTACAACAGCTAGTAGATTTTTATTATCCTCCTCCTCACGCTGCTCTCCACCACGCTGACATCATCATAAAGAGGTCAAGCTCACCTGCTGTTTGAGGTGATCAAACATTCATTTGATGAAGTTCAGCTGGAGCAGGTTAATTATTTTAGCTGCTTAGAAAAACTCGTCTCCGCCCTGCTTAAGAAAGATCAGGAGGCTTTACTTCCTAAAGCGAAGTATTAAACAAATAAAACAATAAAGAAAAAAAAAACATCTGCAGAGGATCAAATAAAACCTGAGGCTTTAAGTTTCTACGACAGGTGATTAAAGCAGCCCAGAACTACCTCCGCAGCGTCAGAGATGCTGAACTGAAGTGAATTAATGACAAGAAACATCAGAAAAATTAGTTTTTTATTCCTTTATTATGAACTTGTGTTTCTGACTCTGATTTTATGTCAAACTGCACAAGTTAGATGTTCTGTGAAGATGCAGTGAGCTCTGACATTAAGAAGAAGAGCACTAGCTAAAAAGCCAAATGTGGTAAAACACTAGCTAAAGCTAAAAATAGCAAATTATAAATCTAAAAGAATTACATGAAAGACGAGCTAAAAGTATCAACATGTTAGCTAAAAGTAACAAAAATCTAGCTGAAATAAACATCTGGTGAAAGCTAAAGTAGCTAAATAACGCTGAGCTAACATTAAGGCTAAAATCATGAATTAGCAAAACATTATTTAAAATCTAAAATAACTAAGTTTAGCTAAAAGCCTAAAGTATTAAGGTGTTAGCTAAAAGTAACAAAAATCTAGCTGAAATAGCAAACATCTGGTGAAAGATAAAAATGCTAAATAACTGAGCTAATGTACTAAAGCTAAAAACCATAAAATTAACAAAAAGTTATTTAAAAATAAATAATAAGTTTAGCTAAAAGCCAAAAGTATCAACGTGTTAACTAAAAGTAGCAACAATAGCTGAAATAAACATCTGGTGAAAGATAAAGTGGCAAAAGACTAACTAAAACTAAAAATAGCAAAATCTAAAAGAATTACACAGAAGATTAGCTAAAAGCTAAAAGTATCAATGTGTTAGCTAAAAGTAACAAAACTCTAGCTGAAATACCAAACATTTGGTGAAAGCTAAAGCAGCAAAAGGGAAGCTCTCAGCTATACAATAACTAAAACAAAAATATTACTAAAACATTTCTTAAAATCTAAAAAAATTAAGACTAGCTAAAAGCAAAAAGTATAAATATGTTAGCTAAAATTATCAAATATCTAGCTGAAATACCAAACATCTGGTGAAAGCTAAAGGGTAGCTCTGAGCTAAAAGTACCAGCACACTAGCTAAAACCATAAAGATAGCAAAAATGTTACTTAACATTTCAATAAATGAAATATTTATCTTTATTTAAAACAAGCATATTTCTTTAAGATAGACCAAAGAGTTCAGAGGCTCTAATTAAAAATAAATTGTTGAATTAAATAGATTTTATTATTATTTATTTATTAGGTAAGGGTTTGGCTGCAGGTGTGCAGCAGAGGGCAGCAGAGACACTTTTCCTACTTTTTTCCAATTTGGTTTCAACTGGATGATTGGTTTCCAGCATTTATTTGAACTTATTGGTTAAAAATATCAACAAGAACCTGTTTGAAGTGAAACAATAATCTCAGTTTAATATAAAGTTATGTCTGTCTTTATATGACTTACCCTTCCTGATCATATTTTATCAGACGGAAACAGCAAAGGCATTATTTTCCCTGTTGCTTTGAGAAGTTTTTGAGACTGACTTTTTCTTTTTTTTTTTGTCTGCATGATTAGGGCTTTGGGGCATCCAGCTGGGCTATAAAGCCACTTAAACATGCAGCTATAAACTCCTGCAGATCTAATTAGGAGGCTGACTCAGATGAGACTTACAGTTAACGGTCTGCTCTCATTGGTCCCAGCGGCCTGTCAATCATGGAGGTGATCTAATGCTGTCTGGTTCTGTGCAGCTGCTGCAGACAAAACATCAACCTCCAACACTCTGCAGGGAGGAAGAGCACAACAAAATATCACATTTTAAATGTTTATTGTAGGATATTTATATTTTATCTGCAAATCAATGAAGTTTCTTTGCAAATAACTGTGAATTAAACAAATATTTGATTTAATTAAAGATAAAAAGAATTTGTGAAGCAAACATGCGATGCCTGAGTTCTGAAATTTGCTGCAATTATTTCCACAAGATGAAAATAAAACTTGTTGGTTTTCTTTGTGCAATCACACTTTGACCATCAACAACAGCACATGTTCACTTTATAATACAGAAAATACAAACTATCTGTGATTAAAAGCATTAGAAAGTAGAAACTGCAGTCACACCTAAAGACTATTTAAGGATGTTGTCCACAGAAAAAGTTCAACTTGAGATACGTTTGATAAAAACAGGAAAACATTTAAATGTTGCAGAACAAAGTATGAATGTTGAAGCATAAAAATCCAAAATCACAATGTTTTTTTTACCAACTTTAATTTAAGAAATTAACTTTAAATGTGAAAAATATTTGCAGTTGTCAAAATGCAATAATTAGATCCCAGAAAAACACAAACCAACAAACTTTTAGCTGTGAAACGACAGCTGTAACTTAAAGTCGTGGTCAAGCTGCGGTTTACTTATTTGACGACAGATTATGTAAAAAAAAAAAGTTTGAATCTTGAGTCATCAGTTTTTAATGAACATTTTAAAAACTGGAGCAACAACAGACTCACAGGAGGACTGAGAGAATTGTTGAGAAGTTGCAGGACTTTCAGGACAAAAGGACGCCACCTGGAGTAGAGAAGTAAAAATTTTGTTTTTGTTACTTTTTTAAAAAAAATTAAATAAAACAACAACGTTTTGACACTTTTTAAGCTTGTTTAACTTGTAAAATATCAATAAATTCTTGTGAAAAGCAACACTGGCTAAAACGCTCAAAACACTAGCTAACAGAAAAAAATATGCTAGCTAAAAGGATCAAAACACTAGCTAAGAGAAGCAATGTGCTAACTAAAAGGATCAAAATACTAGCTAACAGAAGAAGCACGCTAACTAAAAGGATCAAATACTAGCTAACAGAAGAAGCACGCTAACTAAAAGGATCAAAACACTAGCTAACAGAAGAAGCACGCTAACTAAAAGGATCAAAACACTAGCTAACAGAAGAAGCACGCTAACTAA